GAGAGGTAGTTTGTTGTTCGTTTGTTTTTTGGTTTGTTTTTGTCTGTTTGTTGTTGTTGTTTGTTTTTTGTTTGTCTTAGGTAAAAGTGGTAAACACATTTTTTGTAATGGACTTTGGTCCATTGCAGGTAACTCGGCCTAACCTTTGTGCCGTTGCACACAACAGAAACTACACGCTAGCGCTCAGTAGAATAATAACAACAATCTACATGATGTAATCATTATATGAAATGGACCAGTGACCGCTAAGCATGACATTGACACGTGGCGTTGTGTAAGTTGTCGCAATTGTATTACATTGTAATTGTAAAGCACCTGGAGCCACCAGGGCAATGAGTCGCTTGAACAAAATCCGAATAAAATGTCAGTGCACCTCTTCGGGTAAATAATATTATGTTATGAACCACTTCGGCAATTGGGTTAGAACCACATCGACAAACGGATTAGCATCACTTCAACAAATGGGTGCACCCAATTCGGCAAACTGGTCAGGAAAAAGAGTTAAGAACCTGAATTCGGATATATTGTTTTATTGAGGATTATCCGATTATCCGGATATTCATCCGGATTTTTCCCACCTCTACCAGGGCAGGGAGTGGGCGCTGTAGAAGTGATCTCTTTGTTTCATTAGTATTACATCATGACGTGTTTATTAGAACTAATTAGGTTAGGCCAGTCTGTCGACACCGTGGGAAGAACAATGATTAGAATAAATTAATGGACACGACGTGGCAGATTTCCACACATCGCGAATCGTGACCTCAGTGCTTTCTCGTCCTATCTCCATTTTTTAATAACAGTGAAAACAGTTCATAACAAAAGAGGGAGCTTACGAAGATGTCACATTTTCAATGTTAACAAAAAATGGAGATAGGGCAAGAAAGCACTGAGGTCGCGACACGGTCGTTTGGGCCCTCCACGTTCTCTTCTTTTTTTTTTAAATAGTGAAATGTGATAGACCTTGGTTTAACGCTCCTATCAACAGTGTTATATAACATATAATTTTATGTTTGTATCCGCCGGAACGCATATATATGGTGCTTGGGAAAATTTAAACACCGAGGAAGTTACTTAAATTGCGGTTTTCCGCACTTCCTTTTAAAACGAACACATACAGTAGAAACAGTCCCACACAATGAACTCGATGACAAAAATAAATAAGAGATATGTGTAAGGGTCATTCCTGTAGGAGGTCCCTAACCGGTCAGACATCGTTTCATAGTAGTACATCATGTACATGTAGCAGCAACGACAGCAGCAGCAGCAACAGTAGTAGCAGTAGTACCAGAAGCAGTACCAGCAATAGTTAAGTAACGCTTACTATAAAGGTTTATAATGCAAGTGGTGTGTCCTTAATACTTGTTCTTTTAGTAGGCGTTTTACAGCGCTCGCAACTGCATAAGGTCACATGAGCGCCAGCAGATTAGAGGACTGAGGTGTTACAAAAGAGTAACAAACATAAAAAAGGAGGGGAGATAAGGACGATAGATGTTTGATAGGAAAGAAGAAGCAAACCACACCAGTGCACCCGATAACCACCAACGTCCTTAAAATTTCTACAGCTGCTGTTGGACAACAAGACAAAAATAAATATCCTGAACATAAATCAAACGACATAGATGTGGTTTCTTTGAAGACTAAAATAAAAATAGTTCTGGAATTAATAGAAAATCAAATGAGGTAATGTTGAAGCCAGATAGAGTTAGGTAGTCACAATCATTTTTTTTTAAACACAGAAAGAAGAGACAAAAACTCATTTCCTGAATCATTCGGCACGATACAATGACCTTGAACATCTTGTAATCACCATCAGGCGTGCTACTATGAATATGTGCTAAACCAGAGAGTTTAAAGTATTACTGTAAACCCTCTCTGGCTAAACTCAAATGGGGGGAAAACTCTCGAAGTCTAGTTCGCCTCTCGTTCAATAGGTCCCGAGTTGGAAACCTGACAGCGACGGAAACGTTTTGTTCCATAAAACGTTCTCTTTTCACCTCCACTCCAGCTCTCTAATCCTTATCTGTCATCTGCGTTCAACTCCAATTTCTGCCCCCCCCCTCCCCCCCCCCTTTTTTTTTTTACTCTGGACCCCTAGCTCTTTATCCGCTACTCCTGGCTCCTTCTTACTGCTGTCGCTCAGCCACACCCTGATCTTGTAAAGTGTTTTACGGCGCTCGGAACTGCATAAGGTCATATGAGCGCGCGGGACACACGTAATATTTTCAGTTGGTAGGAAATTTTGAATTTTGCCCGGGTGGCGGCCGAAGCCTACTCTTATCAATTTTAGACCACCAAGGGATCTTTAACGTGCGCAACTTGCACACGGGCCCTCCGAGATTTTTCGCCCTTGTCCGAGAAGGCTAGGTGTAGATCTTTCCAACCAGAAGATCAGGGGTGTGGCTGAAAGACAGCAGTAAGAAGAAGCGAAGGAGTAGCAGTAGAAAGGCTGCAAAAAGAATCAGGAGCCCAGAGGAAAGGGCAAAGGAGGTGATGGGGTGGGGGCAGAAAGAGGAGACGAAAGCAGACGACAGAACATTGCTCGAGCAGGAAATGAGGTGAGACAAATTTAGAGAAGAAATTTTTTTCGGTCGCTACCCGGATTCGAACCCGGGACCTTTTGAATGAGAGGCCAACACCTTAACCTCTAGGCCACGAGAGCTCCCCACACCCTGATCTAAGGGTAGGTACACTCAAACACATATCTTCTTGGATAAGGGCGAAAAGAACCTTGGACTTGGGGGTCCCGTATGCAAGCTGTACACGTGAAAGATCCCTTGGTGGTCCTAAAATCGATAAGAGTAAGCTTCGGCTGCCGGGCAAAATTAAAAATCAATGTCTTCCAAAGTGATAACTTAAGTGTTTCAACACTTACCAAAGCAAAAACAAACAGACAAACAAAAAGAATTTTTTTTAAAAACAACAACAAACTAACTAAAATGCAACAGGTCGCTTTCTATTTTTTTTTTAAAGGAGAAGGGTCGATTAATAGCCCAAGTGGTTTCAGATAAGCTCTTGGTCCATATAAAAGTTCCATTTTGTTGGAAAATGAAAGTTGCATTCTTATTAACCTGCAGCATTGTCCACCACTCTATCACGTGGGTCGGTTGAGTAATTTTTATTCCTTTTTTTCTTTTTAAGCGAGGTTGCGGCACACACAAAAAAAGAGCAAGACCAAACCCAAGGTCGATAAACATCAACTTACTTGGTGTCAACAACTGGGTCCCTTTTAAAGAATCCATTGATAAACAGATAAAAAAATAACAGCTGACTAGACATTTTCTACTGCCAGAAAAAAATACAACAATGTACTACTAAAAGACACAGATATAATATCTTTTATCGAGGTTGCATTCAATCGGCACACCCGTTTTCGTCCCACATCTTCGTCTCACTGACCGATTTCGTTCCACTTTCTTCAGCCACGACTGTATCCGTTTTCGTCCCACACTTGGAATAAAAATTAACCGTTACCATTTGATACCTCTATAAAACAACTCTCTCTCTCTCTCTCTCTCTCTCTCTCTCTCTCTCTCTCTCTCTCTCTCTGTGTGTGTGTGTGTGTGTGTGTGTGTGTGTGTGTGTGTGTGTGTGTGTGAGAGAGAGAGAGAGAGAGAGAGAGAGAGAGAGAGAGAGAGAGAGGAGCACGCGCGTGTTGGCATGTGTGTTTTGGTGCATGTGTACACTCGTGCATTGCACTCGTCCTAAAATCCCAAATAACACATGATCTCCAAAAGAGGCTAAAAGTCAAACGGCGTACATCTCAGAGCAGACAAATGAAGTGCCTGGGACACTTGAACCTACACACTGTAGCCTTGAACTGTTTGCTCTCATAGCAAAAGTAACGGAGGCAAACAAAAGCCAAAGGGGCAGAGATGTAAACTTTCTCTCTCAGAAACAACCAACTTAACTTAAACTTAAATAGAAGAATATGTAAGGCAGCGTGGTGGAATCAGGCTCTCGTCAAAATAATCAAAGTGAAGAAAGTTGCTTTTTTCCGCATGTTTGTGAATTTTTATCAATTTTTTTTTTTAGCTCAACACCTTTCATGTCCATTAAAGAACTCATTTCTGTGTGAATTCTTGAAGAAAAACGTTGATTAAAGGCACACAAAAATGTAAATTTTCAGTTACCACGGACTCTTAAGCTAAGGAAAAAACTAATCTTTGGTGGTCATTTTCTCACTAATTTTACCTCTGAAAACAGGTGGCCCCCACCTCCTTGAACTTTTCCAAATATCTCGACTTGTATTCAAGATAAATCGATATTTTTTTCATCCAAATAAAGACAAGTGAACAAGCTTTAGATAACATCAATAACTCTACATGCCCAAAAATTGACGAGATCCTGATTCCACCACGCTGCCTCATATATTATATACATAGCTTGAACAGATGGGAAATACGCAGGGAAAGACTAGGGTAAGAACGTGGAATTTTCCGGGAGTATTCGAACAGAGAAAAATGTGTGATGAACCAGGATGCCGATGTCTTTTTCAAATCTGGATGAAGATGATGATGATGAGGAGGAGGGTGGGGGAGGAGGAAGAGGAAGAGGAGGGGGAGGAGAATGGGGGAGGAAAGGGAAGACGAGGAGGAGGAGGAGAATGAAGACAGAAATGTAATTCATGAAAGAACATGTCATTGCATATTAGAAAGTAAGAAAAGCTTTATGTGACAATAAAACCAAGTGGTTGCTGTACTAGTAGTGGGGTGGGGAGTGGTGGGGGAGACGACAGACTGGGCCAACAGAAGAGGAATAGAAAGAAATTAAGGCACTTCATTCCTTCGGGGGGAGGGGTTGTGTGTGTTTTAGGGATTTTTTTGTATAATAATAAACATTTGTTGGGGGGGGGGGGGGGGGGTTCGTTGCTTTGGGGTTTTTTTTAAGGTTTGGTTTAGTTTTGTTTGTTTGTTGTTTTTTTGTTGTTGTTGTTTTGTTTTTGTTTTTTGTTGTTGTTTTTTTATTTTTGGGGGGGGGGGGGCGACGGAACTACCATTATTAATTATTTTAAGTTGAAGTAACTTCATTATGTATGATGGACTGCACCATATCTGTCGCTACCAAGCGGTCTAATCTGAATTAATTAATTACAAAGCATTACATTGCATCATAAATTCATAAAACACAATATCACACCAACGGAGAACAACTTTACAGACATGCTATAGCTGGTCGCCACAGTGCAGAGCCCTGGTTTTGTAAGCTAGAATGATATATGGGGTTATCGTGACTTGCTCTCAAGGACACACGCAAGTGACCACCCATCTCAACCTAAATCTCTAGCCAGAGGATGATGAAACAGGTTCAACAAGTAGGCACGTCCTTCATCCAAGTGAAAGGAGAATGAAAAAAAAAATGTGATGCTCTGGGCAAAAAAATGACAGAGCAGAAAATTTTTCCACTTGGACTGAGAACAAAGATATATAATAATAAATGGGATAGATCCAGAGGTGTCCTGAAATCTCATACACACACACATGTTACAACATGAACAGTACATTCACAGCAGCCCACAATTCAAATCGTTTAAATCCAGCAAATAAACATACACATACAAAAATACCACTGCACGAAAAGGTGTAAGAGAGAAAGAAAAAAAACAATGAAAGTTAAAAAGAGTCATTTAAAAATATCTGATTAGATTCGTTTGAAGTTTTGGGGGGAAAACTTGATCATTTCTTCTTTTTCAAAACCACAAGCTTAAAATTACAGCAACAAGGAGACAAGCCAATGTCAGAACAAACCTATGAGACCTACCTGTACAACACAGTCCAACACTCGGCTATTCTCCATCTCCATGAGTCTGACTAAAAATTCAGCGCAGTTTTTCTCCACCTCGGGCCTCGCTCGCATCGTCTGAGCCAGATTCTGCACCATTTCTTTCACCGATTCTGGACTCACTCTCCGGACACAGGCAGCAAACTCGGACAGGACATCCTCTGCATTATCTGCAACAATCAGCTTACAAAGAAATCCAATCTTCCTGTTCATCAAATATTGAGGATCGTCGTCTCGGCAGAAAAGTTTACGGTAGTCCTGTTCGCAGACCGAAGCTGGAAATTCTGTGAGACTCAGGTAGTCGATCAACGCCGACACAATCTCTTCGTTCCTTTCACGGGGCAAGTGCTTCTTGATGGCTGTCCATGCTGCTTTGTAAGCCTTTGCCTTCACTTTGGGCAAATCCGCAGTCAGGTGACAAAAGACTTCAAGACAGGAGAGAGTCACCGCCAGCGAGGAACTGCCAGTGAGGGAATCGTCCAGCCGGTTCAGGTGGTCAAACACTTGGGTCTTGCTCTTAGGCGAGTACTTGAGTAAAAACTGGAGGAGGACCCTCTGAACTGCGGCTGGGAAGGAGTGTAAGCTCCCGACGAGATACTGACCCAGTTTGTTGGAGAGCACCACCCCGGCTTCTTGGGAGAACACTTCCTCTAGCGCACACAGGCAAGCAGCAACCGTCTGCCCATCCCTGTCGCCCAGGTGTCGGTAGAGAAGGTCCCAGATTTCCCCGTCCGTGACAGCATTGGGGGACACTTTGTGTAAGCTAGCAGCGGCTAAGGCTGCACAGCGCCGCACGTACGGGCTGTTGTCCTCCAGTCCCCTCGCCACGGCTGAGGTCAGCAGCTCCACGACAGACGGTGACTGCATCGAGCCCAGCGTGCGGAGACTCAAACCTCGAACCACTGGGTTGACGTCTCGGCAGTCTTGAACCAAGGTGTTCGTGGCTAAAAGAGCCATGTCGGGGCATTGTTCGGAGTGGGAGGACAAGATCTCTCCAGCCACTCGCTTCACAAAGGCGTCCGAGTGTGCCAGCAACTTAACCAAGGCGGGAAGGGCAGGGCTGACGTCACACCCATTTGTCGCCAGATTCAGTATCTGGGGAGAAAAAATCTATGTCAGCCTGATGTTAAATAACCTGGGCATGATAAATCAAAATCACTCAACTTTTATCTTCAGGAACTGCTTCATGTAAGATACTCATTCATTCTCATGCCTCCCTTTAATCCCATCGCATCTTTAATGACCATTTTATATCGTCTGTTCCCCAAAATAACAGTAACACAACGTGAAAAGATGCTTGTCTTATAGAAAGATGGCTTGACCCACATATTTTCTGAATGTAAAGTGTTGAATAGCAGACTTAAAGACCAGGGTAGCATTAGCATTACTATAAAACTGAGTATACCTATTTTGAATCAAATATTGATCTCTACAGACACAGAGATCTATAAACAGTCAAACCCCATTATATTGCCAACCTTGGGACGAGCATGAAGCTGGCGGTAAAGCAGGGCTCTGAGAGCATCTTCTAGTCTACTCCAAACATTACTTAAAAAGGGAAATCAGAAATGATTCTGCAATGACTAGACAAAAGACAATAATATATCATTGAAGACACAATGGCCAGTCTCGCCTCAGGTAGACCATTTAAATGACTACCGTGCACAGAGGAAAATTAATTAGCAACCAATTATAGAGCTAGCTCCATGGAGGTGAGCATAATTATTTCATGACCATGTAACTTCAAATCGAAAATTACAGCCAGATCCGAGGCAGTAAACTACAAAACATGTCAAACGTATGCTGCATGAAATCTACAAGACAATGGTGAAGAGGTAGTGACGGGTAGGGAGGGGGCAAATTGGTGATAAAAAGCGCTAGCTCTAGCAGAGAGTCGGGTGAGAGAGAAAGATAGATTAATTATAATCACTGCGAAGCTGCTGAGTGAGTGCTGTGTGCCATGTGTAAATGTGTAGTACAGAGTCGTGTGTGTACTCCTGGCAGCAGTTTGCAAGAAGTGTTGCATGGCAAATTAACCCATTAGTTTAACAACGACTGATGCCCTGCATATTGTGCCAAAGGCTGGAGACAACTTTGACTCAATCTATTGCAAATTTACTCATTTTTGAGACATTCAAATGTTTTTTATTCGAACTACAAATTACAACAGTCCTTATCACACATGATAGTATTTTAAAAAATTTTTTTTTAACCCTATCCCTACACCCTGGGGTCATTTTGAACCCTTGGGGTTGTATTCTTCACATTTTAGAATACTTCTAGTATGAAAATCTCTTTGAAACTTTCAGTATCTCAAAAAATTATTTTGACAGACTGCTGCTATGCAAAGCAGCAAAGCGAACGGATCGGATTAACGAGTACATTTCCTCTTTGGAAAGTGGTGGCACAGAGTTCCCCACGTCGTATGGATACGATAATAAAAAACGACGTACGGATATATAGGGTTGATCTGGGAGTTTTCATGGGAGAGGGGCATGGCCCCTGACCTTAAAAAATCGAAGGGCGGGGGGATATATCAGGGCGACATGCCCCCTACTTCCATCATAATTTGATGCTTCAAAATTAAGTTTCAGTTTTAGATCCTGAAAAAAATTGATTTGCAACAGAGTTAGTGGCCATATTGTATGAAGCGTGTAGACAAAATGACTTACATTTCATAATCCTGAAAGGAGACATTGACTGAAAGTCCACACACAGTCAAATTTGTAGATTTTTCAACTTATAGAGATGCCATTTTCTTCCGGATTAACGTGCCTCTTTTCACTTTCATACTTTTATAAATTGTACTACATCAACCTGTAAATTAGACATCTACGTCCAAAAGGCTTTTAAAATCCAAGAAGAAACTCATTTTGTCAGCACGCCTAGACAACATCATGTGTGTTCTGAGACAGCTAAAAATACCTTTGTTGGTCTGCTGGTAATAATAGCTGTCAAGTGCAAACAGCATGGAATATGCACTACATAAATTTATGCAATCATTAATGATTATTATTACAATTACTATTTATTATTGAAAGGACTTCCTGTAGGTACCAGAACCTAAATTTTCAAAGTAGCTGTATGCCAAATTTATCTGTTCCATTTGAAAGGCCTATATCCAGTGAGTATTTTGATACCATTCTTTAACATCTCAGTCAATTTTCAAGAAAATGGTAGTTGTTTAAAATTCGATCAAATTTGTTAAAGTCAGTCACTGGCTGCAACCCCATGTTTGACAGATAATAAAAGAGTACCAAGTGCACTAAACATCTCCACATTAACAAAGTACAATCACTATAACAAGTATGGAGCTAATTTTTTTCAAAACTGTCAGATCATTGATCATTTGCAAATCAGTATTTAATCGCCTCAAACACGACGATCTGTCGTTATTTCAACAAAAACACCGAGCGTTGACCCGGCCGGCACCGCACTAGCCCCCGCGGCGAGCGAATCGGCTCTATACTGTAGTGTATCCCGCATGTGGGGTCACATACTTTCCGAGTCTCGCGGAAGGATTGATGCAAAACAATTCCAAGCAGATTTCTTTATTCTAATAGGAAATGAACTGATCTTTTAATTGATGACTTTTTTGAGCCGGTATTTTACGGATTTCGTGTAACAAATTATCTTTAAAAATTTTGTCGGTATTTTTAAAGGATTTCTATTTAAACGCCAAAGGCCAAAAATATACAACCAGAAAGCCCGTTCAAAGCACAGTTCTCCGCCAATAAAAAGACGGTATTTAATCGTCCCTCGTTCCGCGAAGCATTTGAATGCACGTGTGTCAATTTTTGAACCGGTCGACCACGCATTACGCCCGCGAGGGGCTTCGCTTTCCTCGGCGATTCTCCAGCTCCTAATAAACGAACATAATAAACAATTTACACCATTGTAACGAGGAAAAGCTGAATTTTTACAAGGTGTACGGCATTTGGTGTTTTATAGCGAAAGAGCAAAGCAACAGCGATCGGAATTACCCCGATTTCACCGATACCACGCAGTCGGAAGGCCGCGAGTGCCCGCGAGGCCGTATTTACACTACCTACTTCCTGGACGGACTTTCGTAATGTGCGACCACCCAAACAAACACAATATAAAGAAGACCTTGACCCTACCCCTACTCCAAACCCTAACCCGAACAGTAACCGGTCATTTCATCTCACAGTAATCTCGTCAAACCCTTATTATGTGTGACGAAATGACTTCGCTTTACCTCTCCAACATTGTAAAAATACTAGTAGAGTTTGGAGGATCAGCCTAACTAAAGCTTTTTTTTAAGTTAAATATAAAAAATTAATCATGTTAATTTAAATCTTCATCTAAAATGTTCCGTTGTTGAACAATAGTTTAAATAAAGCAAAAACAATGTCTGGCAAAAGTAAGTAAGGCTTCATATAAAAAAGTAAAGGTATAGCTTTTAGTAAAATTGCAGAACCATACAGTTCTATTATGATTTATTTATAATTATTTATATCTATATAAGCTAATTTTTATTTTTAACAGAACTAAATGATCTTGCCAGTCACACCTCTCATCAATAGTAACACCTTAGAAAAACTTTGTTGATCGACTCGATAGATTTCAATTTTTTCAATAAATTATAGGCTTATATATAAATGAGCGGTGTAGCCTTGCTGATCAGGTAGGCACGACGACTCGCACAGCCCCTCCCCCCCTCCTCCCCCCATCCTTTGACAGACCCCCCAACCCTCCCCCAAATATCGTGCTTTGCGATTGTCATGACAATGCACATTTGATGTTTGCAAAGTGTACTACAAAACGATCGTCTCCAGGTAAGATTGAAGAATACCGGACCAGCGGACTGACTTTGCCTATGTCTCAACCTTAGGAATTCATAATTTTCCCGTTTTTAATATCTCTCAATGGAGAATCTCGGATTGGTAGATCTATTCATTAAAATTTTGTCAGGGGGGTAGACCCCCCTGAACCCCTCCTCCACCCCAACCACCCGCCCCACCTACCCCACTTTCTCGCGCAATAATGTACGAGTGGTCCGGTAGTCTTCAATCTTCCCCGTCTCCATTCAAATTTGTGGATTTGGATTGTGACGAGACGACTGTGACGTCTTGACTGCACCTGTGTGACGAAATGACTGGCATTCCCCCAAACTCTGCCCCTCTAGTAGCCTCTACTACTCTCTGTCTCGTCACGGTCGCTCGTTACGGAAGTCCTCCCTTATTATTATGTTAATATTCACTATTCGTAATAGAATACTTATTTATATTGTCCTACTAGATCTAGATCTAGATTAGATCTAGATATATCTAGATCTACTACAAAATCTAAATCTATAATCAACTCAATTTCAGTTTTCCTGCCTCTGACTGACTGGTCTGACTCTGGCTCTCTGGCCAGGCCCAGAACTAGACTCTAGATCAAGGAAAACATGTTCAGTTACAATTTTGCTGTTCATGTTGAACAAGAGGACCACTTTTCCCTGAAAGTGCGTAACCCAAGCGATATGAATATACCTCATAAGCACAGGTTCGAACAAGACACACGTCCTTTAGAGTGTTCTGATCCGTTAATCGTTTCAAGATCACAGACAATTCATGACTATCCGCCATTTTGGCCACATATCATCATGTGTACAATGTCACGTGACCGAATGAGATTATGAAAATGAAAACAAAAGGTCTTTTCATCAACCATAACATTACTCTTCCTTGACATATGTGCTTCTATTCAGGGTTTCCAAAGACAACTTTCTGACAGTAAGCATTGGGCGAACAAACCACAAAGGCTACGTTAGATCTATGGCTTTTTAAGTTCAAATAACGAACAACAAATATTTTATAATCTATCCGGCAATGTCATTGAGCAAGACTATCTATCAGACAAGACTCAGCCTCGACCTAGATGGGAGAATGTCAAGATTTAATATATTCAAGTGACCTTATTTCAATCGGTGCTCAAAACAACAATTAAGTCTCTTTTTCTCGATTTTTCTGAGGTACACTTTCAGGAAACGTTGAGAATAGTATTCTGAATTGGATTGCTTATGAAAAAGAGAGATAAAAATCTTTCAAACGACGTACTTTTTTTTTCGTTTGTATTTTCTCCCGGCTCGGGCCGTCAATGAAATGCACGAGACATGAGGTCATCTGGGTCACACTATAAATAGTAGCCACGTGGAAGATACCGGTAGTACACAACAATCTTGGCCTACTTCTCTTGTGTTTACGGTTCTAAACGCCAAACAGTACAGTACATTGAAACTTGATTTCCAATGCCACGCAAGGGAAACGTGGACACAGAACCAAAGTTGAAGAGGGAAAAATCCGCAAATGGCCGTTTAGTCAAAAGATCCTTAACTGGAAGACTTGACTTAAACACAGGGGCAAAGTCCATAGCATGCTCTTGGCTCGTGAATATTTTAGTCCCAGCTTTCTTATGCCATGTCCTATGAATTTGATATGCTGTAACAATGTCTGGAATGTATTTGTCGTACACTTTGTATTTGCAGTTTTTGCTTGAAAAATGGACCTAAAGCTATAGGTGGGAGATGATTAATGTCATTTATATAAAAGTGATAGTACAGTGTCGGGCGGCTTCTGTACACGAGATATAATACTAGATATTACCTTACTGGTTTAAAATTGTGGTTTTCATTTCGAAGGTCACATTTCCCCCCGACTCACGTGCACCATGCATGCTTGAAAATAATGCAGGTACAAACAAACAAGCTCTCTCTCTCTCTCTCTCTCTCTCTCTCTCTCTCTCTCTCTCTCTCTCTCTCTCTCTCTAGATC